GTGAGAGCAGATTTTGTAAGTGGGAAGGTAAAGTGTCTTATAGCCAATGTCTAAAGAGACCTAAAGCCACATTAATTGTTAATTGTGTGGCCTGAGACAAACTTCTCTGGTCTCATATGTTGTCCAGTCAGACAGGGTTGTGCTACACCATAGGGTTCCTGGTCTCTGGGCATTGTAGGGGTGTTTAGTTAATATCATCATCCAAGGTGGTAATGATCTCTGTTTACACATATTTCTTTTTTATAAAGTCAATTTAAAAGGGGTATTTATTAATTTTTTTCTTTTAGAACAAGAGAGTTTCCAAATTGGTACCATATGTTGGAGACCAATATGTACACTCATGATTCAGTCACTCAGCTAACCACCTCTAGCTGTGTTGATGGTTTTGACTTTAATGCAATTTAATTGCTTTTATTCTTAGTGATGAGTTGTTTAATTTATGCTTACAATGATTGCTTTAAAACCACAACATAAGGTTATTTTATTGTATTACACAATAATTCAGTAAATTTGTTTCAAGATGTATTTATCGCATCTGAGATGCAAGTGTCTGTTTTTGTTTTTAATGTAGCCCACCAAGATGTCTCTAGTACCTGAAGACATGTTTAAAAAGAGAAATTATAGTGGCAGTTTTGTCTAACTTGGCATTTCATTTATTGTGAATAAAAGTTCCCTATCCTGCTGATTATTTGAGAAGTGCTTAAAATTAGTAAGCATGAAAGCTTTGCTCATCATTTTGAAACAAAACACAATACTTAAAAAATAATACATTCCCTGCCTTTTCTAGATGCAGAATGAAAGAATTCCGAATAACATATTATGTAAGCTCTTTTTATTTATTTTTGATGCTGTGTTGTAGCCTCTTTTCTATGTTTTGAAATGTTTGATCTTCAAAAAAACCTCTTATCTTTTACACAGTTAACTTACAGTGAAATAAACAGTGGGCATCACTTGTTAAATGGAAAATAAGCATCACCAGTATATGTTTTTATTACAAATA